GTCGAATACTGGAAATTCAAAAAAACCTCCAGGATTACATTTTCATTGAAACCACACCCCCACTTTTTTTACAGAACCACAACTCACCACAATTTATTTTATATTATTAATAATTTGTTTATTATTTTCGCAAACCGATATGCACCATTTATTTATTTTTTATTAAAAATCGCTTGACCTGAGCAGGCATCGAACTCACGACACATCTATTATCGTTTTACGCTTTCAATCGCTAGACGAGCTCGACAAGGAACCACATAAAAACTTTTTACTAGATACAGTTATAATTGAATAAGATTTCAAACTTACGCTGATAGAAGGAAATGCAATAGATTCAATTTGTCCATTTTGATTACAATAATGACCTAAGATAGACGTCCACTGGACGTCAAAATACTACTAAACTTAAAATTAAGTCCAAAAACAGACGTTCTCTGGGTATCGATATTCAGCTGTCAATTTAATTAGCATAAACGGACGTACACTGGAGGCCCGGATATGGACATCCTGACCCTCAAATAGATCTAAAGTGGACGTCCATTGGACTGTGTGCATAGACGAATTTTTAGAAATAGTACTTATTTAAGTATGCACCAATATTTCCAAAATCAACTCCAGTATGATTCATTCAATAAATGTAAATATGAATGGGCAAAACATCTTTATATTGACATAATTGTAACTTACAATTTAGCCATAATAAAGGGATTTCGCCCACTTTGACTAATCCTAATTGAAACACGCGAATTTATTATATTTTTTTTAAATATAATTTCAAAATAAAATAAACAAAATCTGCAGTTCATTGTTTATTAAATTTATATAAAATAAGAAAAACATATATTTTACAAAATACAATACCTACATATGAAAAATAAAATGTCAATTATACTTAATATTGATGCATGTGATAAAATTTTTAGTTTCCTAATAACTTTTTGGCACATTTTATATCTGTATTAGAATACCTAAGTGTGTAAAAATCTTCATCTTATTATTACACAAAACAAACACCAAAAAATATCACTTAACATTGCTCACGTACTAAACACAACTTGGACTGACTTTGACAGATAACATAATTTTGAGTGATACACAACTTAGTTTCGCACATGCGCGTTACAAAACGGTACACTGAAAACACCAAGCTGTCGCTTCTCCTTGATCGATATTCTCGGTTCCAATATTCCTGTTGACAATATATGTATCTGTATTTTGCGAAAGTTCTCGATAGGGTACTCCATAAAAGACTATAACTAAAACTAGAACATTTTGGTATCCAAGGTAATCTGAACAAGTGAATCTAAAATTATTTTGCCAATATGTATTTTAATGTCAAAGTTGGATAGTCACATTCCTCTGATCAAAACAAATCAACATATTAACACCACTAAATCTTTTAATGCGGAGTACACCAAAATGTATGCAAATCCACTGATGAAACCAAAACGATCTGCATTCGATTGGAAACTGATTCAACGACTGTTTACTACCGTTAAATGTTAGCAAATATCTAGTTTTGTATATGAGTAAGAACAATATATACTAAACGATCATCCACTAAATAGTGGATTTGTGTGTAACTATTACTTCTGATATGAGCTGGCCTGAGCATGTGTTTATTACCTTCAAACGTGCCAGTCCCATTAGTACGTAATTGTTCAATATTTCAATTTGTGTTATAGATACGCAAACAAGTTTTATGAATTTAAAAAAATACGTATTTTAAAAATATTTTTGGATATACAGGGTGTTGCGTTTTTGTCTGGCAAATAATAATGTTTTAAATTAAACACTCCTTATTTTATTTCAGTTTTAGAATGGTTTGGTAATACTGTAGTTAACTCTAGAATTTTTCTTTAAAATATTACAGGGCTGTCAAACAATTTTTTTTTAAATTAGGGAACGATGCAGTTTCCAAAATAAATTATCATAATTTAGGTATATTTACATTAAATTTAAAATTGCTTATTATAGACACTTATAAGATACTAAGCTAACGAATAATGATGTGAGAACTAGTTTATTTTATACAGAGTGTTTTCAAACATGTCTTAAATATCGCTAATTTTAAGTTGAATTTACTAAATTTTTTCAAATGCAACATCCTGTTTATTATTTCAGCATAAAATTCCTTATGAATTTACCTATTTAACGATACCAACAAGTTAGGCAATATTATTTTTAATTTATTATTCGTGACATAATAGGTGATTTTAAATAAATAAAGTTGGTACCTAATATATTCAAAATGAATTTTTCTACGTTCATGCAAAAAACAATACTTTATTGAACTATATTTAGTGAAAAAACTGGGTCTTTATTGCACTAGTGCAATAAAAAATTTATTGCACTCATCTGTCATTTTACTACAGCGTTTTATGATCATGACAAACATAAATATTCAAATCAACGCCAAATATTTAGGCCATTTTAATTTTCTGTGTTACGTTTTAAAAACAATTGCATATTTTAATAAATAAATTAATAAAAAAATGTATTTTATTAAAAATGTCATTACAAATTATGAACACAAACGTAAATAAATGCCTCAAACAAAGGTACACGATTACGACTACTATGATTTGGATAATACAATTGCAGTTCTATAAAACATTTTTTGGTTTTTGCATGAACGTAGAAAAAATATTGTATGCAACCCGTGCAAAAAGTGTTTATTGCACTTGTTGCATAAATAACTAATAAAGACAATACCTAATACCCCCTATAAAGAGACATCAAAAACTACAATTAGGTTAAAAATAAGCGATATTAAATGAATTTGAGGTAAGATTTTTAGGTTATAAATCATTAGTAGTTTTTCGACATCTTACAGAATTCTTATGAATCTGTATTGTCACTGTTAGGCGGAGCTTACAATTAACGTGTATAAATGTTATGAAATTCTCGTCTAGAGTTTCATTTTTTTTTAAATTAGGAGAGTATGTTCTAAAAATAATAAAAATAACACAGACTCTTGCTGATAACGACTACAATTAATTAACCTATTTATTTAAAATAAAAGTACAAATAAAAGAAGCACGTATGGTAACACAAAACACTATATTACTTAACGAGCAAGGAATTGTACTCATTTTCTAGCAGTATAATATTGTGTTATCATATGAGAAAATGAAATTATACGTCACATTATGTAGATGTCACAGTCATTCTTAGCCGAAAAGTGTAAAATTGTAGTTTTGTCGTACAGTCGTACAAAATAAAACATATATTGGTCAACGAGCAAAGAAATGAGCTTCCTATTACACGTTTATGAAAATGGCAGCTATCTTTTAGATAATTATTCAAATATATGACCTTGCAAAGCACATATGTTTTTAATAAAATAATTAAGGAATGACTACTTTGTGTTACTAGGAAACGAAATTAAATTAGAAACCTAAATGTCACACAATGTACTTTATTTCGTAATAAAAAATAAGAAAATTTAGTTTTTTATTATAGCCAAAGAAAAACATTATTAATCTTCACGAAAGCGCCTTATTCGTTGGCAACGTGTGTCAAAAATAATGTGGGCTAAGGAGGAAATAAATCAAAAAATTAAACCTAAAGAAACCATTAAAATTTTCTTTTTCTTAAACAAAAGTTAGTTTTTAAATTTAAAAATATTTTCCTTATTATGCGCGCTATTAAACCAATACCTATCCTAACAATATATCAATATAAATAAATGCATAGATAACTCGTATTCGTAAATCGCCGACGTATTATTAGTCTAAGACGTCGGGATTTTAAGAGGCTGTTATTTATTCTAGATACCGAACTGATCCGAGTACGTGTCGGCAGTATACGAATATGCGGCCCGGCCCTTTATATCTATACGCACTTTTACGACGACCACTTAACAATGACGGACATTTCGACAGCGCGCATGCAAGGTGATCTAATTAGGTTTTCGCGTAATAAACTTTAATTATACTGGCCTGTTTTATTTATATTCTTTAAATCATAATAAAAGCTATAGGGCTAAATACAGACAATATTTTTTAAAAAACAATCTTTGAAGAATGGAACAGCTTCCTTGCCTAATTATGTTATAGAGATATACATGTTTCAAAATAGATTAGACTTAAAAACAATAGTTTATTATTTTCTAACCATATTATTAACTTACAGGTCATTGTAAATTATTGTTAGTCTATATTAAACCTAACTCTCAGCATATAATTATTGTATTTAATAAAAATATTATAAAAGAATTGGAACATAATTATGTGCCTAAATAATTTGAAAGCATAGAACTAGTTCATAGATTTCTCGCTATAAATCAAGCTCAAATTGATTAATCCAATACAGATGAAAAATTAGATCAAATTTTAGAACGTTTTTAGGAACAAGAAGACGTACCTAATAATACTCCTGAGGAGATACAAGCAGAAAGTTATTTTCTTTTTTTGTTGTTTCGATAGCAGATTCAACTAATCTTCAAAGAGTATTATGCTAGTAAAATGTAATATTGTTATTTTAGAAAATATAAAAACTCTAAAGAACGCTTCTTATATTATTTTTAGCTGATAATATTTAGCAACGTTGAAAACATTTTAAAAAAATTATTGGCTGCTTTCAAGCGCTTTAAATAAATAAAGCTTCTAAATAACGGATAAATTAAGGTTTTATTAGAAAACTAAAGATTTATTAATTATTCTTATATTAATCGAACTTAAAATTCCAATGCTTATTGCAAGAGTCCAACTGGTTTCTTATTCCCATACAAAACAGCTCAGATTTTGCCCTCCTCGATTTCTATTTGTTGAAACTGTTATTTCGAATATTTTCAAATTATTGTCAAAGTCTTCGTAGAAAATAATCGTGTTTAGAATTTATTCTTTGACAATTATTTTATCTTATTTTTATTTAAAAATATTCATGTGATTTTTTTTATTATTTTATTTCGTGGCGCGTAAAGCGAATTCGGTATTTTAAAAATAAATTCAAAGAACTACGTGAATAAAGTTTAACAAAAAAACAGTTTAACTTACCTGTACAACTGATATCAGATTGTCATTGCTGGTGGCATTGACAACTGCAACAGAGAGGATCAAACAAGCTGCTTTGAACATATTTTCTACGATAACCACTTAGAACATGAATCTTTATTTATATAGATAACTGCGTTTAAATTTAAATAAAGCCGAAATTATATCTAATAATATTTATTTGTGCACTTTATTAGTTATAAATGGTTTAACACCAATAAATGGATTATTATTTTTTTTATGATTTGATTTCGGCAAAGAGTTTTCAATAAAAAATACTGATAGTTATATTTAGGTTAAATTGTAAGTAAACAAAAAATATGCTGCAATTATGTCAACTTAATCATATGGATTCTTTCGCTAACAAGAATGTAACTTATCTCTTGTTTAAATTCAATATAAATGACCTCAACCAATCAACTTAATTTTCGGTTTCCTACTTAAATGCCCACTTAATTTGTAGATTTAATGCATTAGGTAAAATCCTTTCTTCTTCATCTTTTTCGGTCATAAGCGATTTAGGTTTAGGTTTAGACCAGAAAACTGCAAACTTTTGGGTCATGGGTTTCGGGTCTTTCTCTGAATTAGGGTATAAAACCCAGTGGCGGTTTGACCGTAAGGGCACTTGGGCACGTGCCCTAGTATAATAAACAAAAAAAAATCTGATGTGTCCAACACATGACTTTCCTATCTAGTTATTATAGGCTTTTTCCGGTTATTTTGTACAACCTATTGCAGCATCTCTATAAATGTTTAGAGGATAAAATAAATATATACATTGTCCATATACATCTACCTCGAAACATTTTTCTATAGATATTCATTGAAAACGAAAATACTGAAAAATTTTCTACAATTTTTTCATTACGGTCCATTTTAGAAAAATCATGAATAAACAAAAACTATAGAGATCGATTCGCAAACAACTTTTAGTTCAACAATTTTCATAAAAATCAGAATTTTGCACATTTTGTCAAATTTCTCAAATACGGACCATTTCAGGAAATTTTGACATAAAGCAGAAATTATAGATAATAATATTAGAAGTAACTTTTATTTAAAAAATTTTTTGTCCGTTTTTCTGTGTATCGGTTCATGAGTTATGCGACACACACACACACACACACACACACACACACACACACACACACACACACACACACACACACACACACACACACACACACACACACACACACACACACACACACACACACACACACACACACACACACACACACACACACACACACACACACACACACACACACACACACACACACACACACACACACACACACACACACACACACACACACACACACACACACACACACACACACACACACACACACACACACACACACACACACACACACACACACACACACACACACACACACACACACACACACACACACACACACACACACACACACACACACACACACACACACACACACACACACACACACACACACACACACACACACACACACACACACACACACACACACACACACACACACACACACACACACACACACACACACACACACACACACACACACACACACACACACACACACACACACACACACACACACACACACACACACACACACACACACACACACACACACACACACACACACACACACACACACACACACACACACACACACACACACACACACACACACACACACACACACACACACACACACACACACACACACACACACACACACACACACACACACACACACACACACACACACACACACACACACACACACACACACACACACACACACACACACACACACACACACACACACACACACACACACACACACACACACACACACACACACACACACACACACACACACACACACACACACACACACACACACACACACACACACACACACACACACACACACACACGCATACACGCATACACGCACACAGAGACAGACATCATTGCGAAAATAGTCAAAACGGATTCAGGGGACCTCAAAACGTGAAAATCCGTCGAAAACTCGAGGTCGAAAAAAATCATGATTCCTATACTTTCCTTATATCTGTATACAGATAGGAAAGTAAAAATAACTTACATATTTTATATTTTCCTCAATGCCTATTATTATTTTATCTAATATTCAGCGCAAACCGCGTTGGCACGACACTGGACGACCAAGCGTTGAGCGACGTTCCGAGAATTCCAAAATTAGGTGGAAGATGGGCACAGTAAATGTGTGCCTTTGTTGTTTTCTCTCTCATTATAATGCGAAAAACAAGGACAATGACAATATCGCTTAGCAAGAGATGAACACATGCGATGGATTATAAGTCACAAGCGGGGCGCTGTCCTTATCATGACGTGCTGTACCCGTGGCACAAATTACCTAGACCCACATGCTAAGAAAATCAAAGTATGTGCCTAGACCAGATACGAATGTACGCAGAGGCTTAAGGTGCGAGTTTGTTGGACCATGATAATAATTTATTTATTGTGATTATGAAAAAACGTTAGTTGAACCATTGGAATAGTTAAGAAATAAAACTACAAAGAAAAATAACTTTTTTTTTATAAAGCAGTCAAAAATATGATGAAAAAAAATCAATATTTATAAATGGGACAAAATTTTTTTCTTTTGGTTTTGTCTGACTTTTTCGAGGATTTCAAATCTCTGTTTGCATATTTAAGAGTATAAAAAATTCTTATAAATAATTTAATGGTGTACATTTTCGCAAATTGTTGACAAGGATGACCAAATTCTATTTTGCTCATCTCAAAAAGGTATGCGTTGGAAATTCCAGGCTTAGTTGACAAACTATCATTTGGAGATTTAAATATTTTTACTAATTTGAAAATGTAAAAGAGAAATTTTTCGCTGGGAGATTTTAAATTGCCAAACACCTTGTCTTCAGAATCGTATGCTTTAAAATGCGTTAACAAGTTAGAATTGTTAAGTAAATTGCATTCTTCTGAAAAATTTAAGCAAATTTTTCAAGAGTGGATATTTAATGATTTTTTGATTAAATAGTCACATACATAGTTAAATGCATTTTGAGTGGTCACATTTGGCTCCCTATAGTCACATTCAGAAATCGTTATTGCCCCAACTGATTGTTTTGTAATATATTTAATTTTCATTAAGCGGAGAACTTGTTTTCCTAAGGAAAAAACGAATCCTGGGATTCCTTGCCAGTATGTGCCCCACTGCCGCTAGTGCCCACGAGCCGCCACTAATAAAACCCTTCAGGAATCACAATTAAATTAGGAAATTAACATACATGAAGTTTCTATAATTATCTCTATTTATGATTCATATTAATAGTAAAGTAATATTCAAAACGGCGGTTCGTGGTTTAGTCTACAGATGGGGAAGCTACTTTTGAAAGGTACTTAAGATATATGAAATAAAATTTATATGGAAACTTACCAGTACCAAATGAGGTGGCTCGTGCCTGACTGCCTACTGGACTGCTATGAGTTTTTTTAAAGGATTTCTTATAGCAAGAGACAAATGCTGGACTAGTAACATCCTCTAAAATACTTATCACCATTCTTTCAACCCCATCATCTCAGACCCAATCCCTGATCCCTCCAGTGAGGTTGAAAAGGCTAAGAATTTCTGTAGTAGTCTGCTCCCAACTGGTAGAATGAAATACACCACTTTGACCATTTTTAAAACTTACCAAAGCACCTTGAGTAATCTTATCATAATCTGGCACGCCATCCTTGGTGTTCAATATATTTTGGTAGTATTCCCCTAATTTAGCACACTTTTTTATCCTGACCTAGCAACTTTTCGCCAAAATTGCAGATCCTACTTTTTATATAATAATTAACAGATCCATTGCCTACATTCTACACATCTGTCTATATAGGAGCAAAGCGGAAATTTTCGTAGAGCTCTTGACTTACGAGCAAAGTCGTGTGATCTAACAGCTCGAATACGTGAATTAAAAGCACTTCAACTTTTAGCCCTGCCAGCCAGCAACATTAGCCGAATGAAAATATATTGAGGGCCAGGGCAGCTTGCTTTATTATGATTGGAACAAGTAAAATAAAGGAGCTGTATAAAATTGAGAAATAGACGTGGAATAAATATTGTTTTTTATTAGTAGTATTATTGGTATACAACATAATACATTTTTATTTAATAATAATAATAGAGTTTATTTAATTTTGGTTTTACATATAAGATTACAAATTTGTATTAAAATTATTTGAATAACCTACAAAATAATCACAGAAGCGTCACTCCAGAAGAGGTTCAGCTTGTATGGTGATGTTATACAAAGTTCGTATATCCTTAATTCTAATCTTAATTACTAATAATAACTTATAATAATATTTCTATCAATATTTTCTATTAAATATTGTAACGCAAAATTATAAGCTAACTGCAGTCTCGAAATCTCAAAATCGGGTATATTGTCATAATCAGGTGTAATGTCATAATAGGGTGTAATGTAATAATAAGATGTAATGTTATAATCTTGGGTAATGTCATAATCATAGGTAATGTCATAATAAAGAGTAACTGTTAAAATCTGTTAAAATGTCAATATGTTGAGAGGATATGAATGTTCATAAATGGTCATAATTAATTATTTATTAGGTTTATTGGTTTACACGCTTGAATTTACAAATTTATGACAAATTGTTCTGTCGTTTTCTCCTATCCATTTTTTTATTTTATATTTAAAGTGATTGTATCGTTTTATACTTTGTATTTCTTCTGGTATTTCTTAAAATATTCTAGGTGCTAGGTAAGAACAACATCTTTGACTAGCAGTTTTTTCGCATCTTGGTGTTTTAAATGATTTTCTTCTAATTCTCGTTTCATACTTATGATAAATGGGCTTCAGTTTAATTTTATTTTGTTTACTAAATAATAATATTCTTAAACAGAAAATTTGTTGAATATCAACCGGCCCTGATAATTTAAATAAAGAGTTTGTGGGGTAAGTACGACTTTTTCCGTATATTATTTTTATAAATCATTTTTGAATAATTTCCAAATTTTTTAGATAAAAGTTACTTACGTCACCCCATCCTATGAT